CTGGTAAGTCAAGAAGAGGTGTTTCAGGCACAGCTGGATTCAGGCACTCAAAATCTATCTTTAAGACTTGGTCTCGGCTTGACCCTCTTCTGTGCGGGCTTCGGTCCCAGCAGGTTCTCTCCATCCAGTGGGCCTCCCTCAGCCCCACTGTTACCAACTCCAGAAGACACTCCTGTTTCTCCAAATTTCCCTCAAAGTCCCTGAGTTGAGTCTTACTGGCCTGAATTGGGTCCTCTGCCCCACCCCTCAACCAATCACTGCCGACAGGAAGCTGGAATATGTTAATTAATCAGGTATTCATGTCTTCGTCCTGGAGCCAGCCCTGGGGGAATCCTATGGAAGTGGTTCCCCAAAGGAAAGCCAAGGGACTGCTGGCAGCCAAGGGGCCAGGGGAGGCGTGCAGGCCACACAGCGAGCGTCCACCCTACATGTCCCCATTCAGACTTCCTCTACCTGGTGGAGATGGAGGTTTGCAGGAAGGTGCTGGACATTGCCCATGACACTGATTTTTCTGTCTCCCTTGTCACTGCATGAGCTCCTTTACCCGGGCTGGGGGTCTTGGGTTGCTCTTGGATGCCCTATCCGGAGCATACGGCAGGCACTTCCTGACAGCGTTGGGAGAGGACGGATGCCTGTCTAGACACTTAAAGCCCCTTTCTCTGGCTGGGAACATTAGAATCCATGAGATCTAAAGTTAGGAGCCATTCTGCAATATTTAGGTTCCAAGATGAAAAGGACTAGGCATCAGGTGACAAACACTTAGGGCGGCTTCTCCTTATTTTTGGTTCAGACACTTATAGAACGACATCTGAGTGCTTGCACACCCACTACCCCACAATTGGAACCGCATAGCCGGATTCCGCCCAAATAAGGGTGGTGAAGAGTTCCAGCCCCCATTGAGGGTGGGCCCAACAGGTGTCATGGACAGCACAGGAGGTCTGGACGTCAGGGAGGAGCTCTCGGTGGGTTAGAATCCAACTGAGATGGTGCAAGGCCACGCTGCACCCTCAGCTCCGTCTCAGAGAGCAGCCCTATCGCTGCCTTCCCCTGAAGGCTGCCCTCTCGTGTCTCAGGCGAGGGGACCCAGCAAGCCTCAAGGCTTCAGGACCACTTACTCTTGCAGGAGGCTCCTTTCTGTTTGGAAATCACTCGCAGAAGCAGGTGGTGTTCTACATGACTGGGGTGGGAGGGGCTGCAGAGAGGAGGGCTGGAGACTGGCTATTTCGGCAGGGAGGGGTGGAATAGCGTCCTTGGGCAGCAGCATGTTCAAAGGGGGCACGAAGAGGAAGCAGGGACTCTAGACTCAGAGCCATAAGTGCCTTTGTGCACCTGAGGGAAAGGCACCATCCCTCGGCAGGTGTAGCCTCAGGTGTGTGCCTTGGTGGGACCTCCTGGGCACACAGGGAGACTGAGGGTGGAGACCCATCTCAAGGCAGCTCTCCGCACTAGGTAGCAGCCAGGGCTGGGCTCTGAGGTCTCTGCTCCTGTCCCCCGTGCCTGGTTCAGCCTGAGGAGTGCCGACAGCCAAGTCGGAGTTGGCCAGCCCTGCGCCTGCTACTGCCTGATGAACCGGTCCGCACAGTCCCTCCCTGCCCCCCAGGGAGACGAGCCTTGGTACAGCCAGCCCCTGCCCGCCCCCCCTGGACTCTCCCCTGGGTTGCAGAGTCTGTCCTCTGGATGCCAAGCTTCCTCCTCCTGTTTGCAAAGAGAACCCAGAGAATTCCAGCAAAGAACGTGCCCTGCGACTTGCTCCTGGGGCTCTCACAGATCTGAATGCAGGAGCGTGCTCCTGGCTGTGCTGCTGGGCTATCCATCCTCCAGCTAGTTTGCAGAACCAGGGGAAATGAGTCCTGGGGCCTCGAAGGGGGTCTGTGGCCCAGGAGGGACTTCTCCCGTTCAAGACCCTGGCAGGAGGCGGGGGTAGCGTTGGCTGGGCTCGTGTGCTTATGATGGATCCTCACCCGGGGCCTTGTTAGAGCGCAGGGCAGAGACGCGGAGTGCAGGGGGAAGGCTGCAAGGAGGGAGTTCCCTCCCCAAGGAGGGGAAAGGCTGCCGCCGAGTGGCCATCTGGCCGGCTAGCAGAAATTACTGGGACCGATGTGTCCACGGCCCCGTTTTGTCTGCCTGCAGCTGGAAGGGCACTCACTCAGTCCCTGACCCCAGACGTGGTAGGGGAGCCTGAAGCCCTGAGAGCCTGTTTGGGGCCAGGGACTAGGGGCCACCTCAGGGCTTGGGGCCAATACAAAATGGAACGTGGAGAGTGGTGTCTCAGTGCGGGTTGGGGTGAGAAGTGAGGGCTGAGCTGAACCCCAGCCATGGAGTCCCTGACAGGGGGTGCAGAAAGAGCTAAGGTTGAGGACAGTGTCACTGGTGGGCCAGGCAGATGAAGGAGGCTGGGCTGCCTGCTGAGCACTGGGACCCGGTACTGTCAGGGAGGGCAGGACCTGGCAGGTTTTTGACAATGTTCTTTCTCCTCTTTCCTTCTCAGTCCTGCCGCCAGAGGTCTGAGCTCCTATGGCCCAGCCTCCATTCATCCCTGTGTGACCAAGTCTCTTTGTGTTTCTTTCTCTCTGGCTCTCTGACATTTTCCATCTCGCTTTTCCTGACCTGTGTTCTTTCTTCTTTCTCCATTTAAGTTTCATCTCGGGCTCATATAAAGTTTTTACACTGCATGCCTCACAGTGCATCACATGGAGAGTGATGGTCACCAGCAGAAGACACAGGAAAGATGTTTGTGTATGAAGGGGCCAGGGGAGAGACTGTCCATCTGTGTGCCTGGCCCCACTTGCTGATGCTCTGCCCTGCCCTGTCCCCAGCCTGCTGCCCAGTAATGGCAGAGACGGGCCAGACTGGTGTCAGGAAAGGAGCCAGGGTGAGCACAGGGCGTATGCAGCTCTGAATTTTGGGCATCAGTCTGGAAGTCAGCTCCTAGCCCAGCTACTCATAACAGCCCAGACCAACCATGTGCAAAACAGAAGATTTTGTCCCATCCCTGGAGTGGTTTTCAATCTAGCTGGAGCAGCAGGTTTAATGTAAAGAATGTGAAGAAACAATGGAGCTTAGCAGGGGCTTGGGAGAACCCACAAGACCAAGGTCATATTGTACGTGGGGGTGTCTGTGTGAGTGGATAGAAAGACAGAAATCATTGAATTTCTTTTTTTTTTTTTTTAAGATTTTATTTATTTATTCGAGTGAGAGAGAATGAGAGATAGCACGAGAGGGAAGAGGGTCAGAGGGTCAGGGAGAAGCAGACTCCCCGCTCAGCAGGGAGCCCGACGTGGGACTCGATCCCAGGAATCCAGGATCATGACCCGAGCCAAAGGCAGTCGCCTAACCAACTGAGCCACCAAGGCGCCCCAGAAATCATTGAATTTCTAAGAGGACTTGTGATTAGAACAAGGTTGTGTGCTTTTGCTGCATAACTCCCCAGCTTTATCCATCGACTAAGTGAAGCCACCAGAAAAATCCCAAAGTCCATTATGATGATCCCTTCCCCATCAAACACATGCAGAGCAAGATGTCCTCTGTAGAGTGTCGACCCAACACGTCACCCCAGGCAGCATTGTCTGTAGTCAGCAGACATGGCCCTCGGCCATCATTCAAGCTCCGATAGGTAGGGAATTGGGAGGTGAACTTCTTTTGGAGCTAAGCTGGGGAAGATTCGGCCTCTCCCAATGAAGTCACCTGCTTCCTTTGAGAAGCAGGGGTCATGGCAGTTCTTGCTTCTGCCTTTGCCTGGAAGCTTGTACCTAGAACCAGGCTTGGGTCTCATCATCCGCCCACCCCAGCCCAAGCCCCTCCAGCCCTTGACCTTGTGGTTTGTGGCATCATTCCGTTAGCTCCCTGGGATTCGAGTTTGCAGGGCGTCACAGGCTCCCAGTGCAAGTGTCATGGCTCAGACCCTGGCCCTGCCACGTTCCACTTCCCTTGGACTTTGGGCCCATTATCAAGTCTTCAGTGCCTCTGGTTCCTCATTCATCACACAGAGATAATCGCACCTAGCTCCCAGCGATGTTGCTGTGAGTACTAAGTGCATTCCTGCAAGTGCCTCACCTGGTTTTGCCTCGAAGTAAGTGGCCAATTACTGGACGCCTTCCCCTGCAAGGCCTACAACTCTGCTGTGGGTCTTTGAGGGCCGGTCTGCAGGGACTGTGGCCCCAGCCTGAGCCCCGTCTCCTGATGGAAGCTTTCAAGCTCTGGCCGGAAGCATGAGGCATCTCTGCAGTGTGATCTGTCACCACCATTCATTCAGCAAACGTCTGTTAATTCCTCCTTAGTGCCAGATGCTGTGTCAAGTGCTGGGGTAGAACATTCCACAGGGCACAGACAGCACAGGGGCGACTGGCGAGAAGGTGCAGCCAGTGGATTCATAGCTGAGAAGCTCTTAGGATGGAGGGTGCCTGGCACACAGCAGTGCTCCGTAACATCGTTAAATAAACGGTGTGGTCACTTACGGTGGCTGAGAACAGCCCCCGTGGAGCACACAGCTGAGCCAGGCGTGGGGGCTCAGGAGGAAGCAACATGGGAACCGAGACGAGGGGAAGGAGGAGAGGCGAGAAGATGGGGCCGGGCAGAGGGAAGGGCCCAGAGGCAGCAGAGCCCCCAGCCTGCGTGGGGAACTAGAAGCAGTGTGGTCTGGCTGGAATGAGAGGCTTCGTGGGAATGACAGAAGGGGCTAAAGAAGCAGGCAGGGGTCAGAGTGTGGGTCTGGAAGGCCATGTGGAGGAGCCGGCTGAACGGAGCTCAATGGAACCGTGCTCCCAGCATGGGGTGGGAGGAGGGCGCTGACATCCCTGCCAGGCTCCAGGACGCTCCATGGCAACCAGCAGCCCCCCTCTGTGTTCCTGAGGCTGGACGCCAAGCAGCAGAGGTATCTGTGCCAGGCCTTTCCGGACCTGTGGGACACAGTGGTTGGGGACAGGGCTTTGGCCCTCCACCCCTGGTCTGATCATGGCCACCAGTTTGGTTCTAACCAGACTCTGGGTTTTCTTTCTTTGCAGATGTTGGAGGAGCTCCAGTGTTAGCAACGGGCAAGTCTGCTGAGGCTGAAATTGGTAGGTGGCTGCCCAGCTTCCTCTTTGTGCAGGGCTGAGGGGGCGGGAGGGGCAGGGGTGGGGTGTGCTGGGAGCGTGGCAGGTTTCCTGCCAGTCTTCACCGAACAGGGGCAGCACTCACTTCCACATCTGCCCGAGGAGCTAACACAGTTTTACCCCAGGGGCAGGGACCTGCTTGAGAGCCTGTCTCCAAAGGGCACGGGAGTCACCAGGGTCGCCCTTGTCTGCTCTCTGTAGGATGAGCGGCTCCAGCCCCCACAGAGCCCTGCACTCTGCCATGCCTCCCCCTCCTCCCTCCACCTGCACGGTCCCAGCTCCTCTCTACCTCAGGGGATCCCCTCCACCTCAGGGGCTCCCCTCAGCAGGCACGGTGTGGTCTGCAGACTGTGATCTAGAATCTTCACCCCTTTTCCTCTGGGAAGGCTCTCGGCTTCCATGCCAGCCCAGGCCAGCCCATTACCCTCGCGTTAGGGCGAGTTCCCATCCACCCCCGCTGACTGCAGGCCTCTCAAGACAGAGTCACATCTTTTCCTTTGCCTTCCATGCTCACCACAGAGCAGGCAGCCAATTAACACGTGCTCGATAAATGAATTAACGCAAAGGCAAGTGAGGTAGGGCTAGGGGAGGCCGGAGAAGGGAGCCATCAGCTGCTGGGGAATGACTCCCATGGCTGAAGCGAGCCGGATGGGGTTCCAGGAGGAGAGGATGGGGGTGGGTGAGGGGCGGGGGGAGGATGTGGCCCTGGGCTTCAGCCGATTGGAATGTGGAGTTTTCGGGTGACTTTGGACTTCACCCCGAATGTGAAGGGAGCTGTAGATGAAAGACCTTTGCAGGCTGGTGCCTGATGGATACCCATTGGTCAATTCCTCCCTGCCCTGCAGATATCAAGTACGCCATCATCGGGACGGCTCTGGGCGTCGCCATATCAGCTGTCTTCCTGGTCTTGAAGATCTGCATGATCAGGAAACATTTGTTTGATATCGACTCCTCGGACTTGAGAAGCACAAACCCAGGCTTCAACGGTAAGGGAGCAGCGACCTCCAGCCCGGATCTGCCCCGCCCAGACCAGGATCAGTCCTGGCAGCCTGAGGCCCCGGGAGCCCCTCCAAAACTTGGCTAGAGAAAGACTGACAGACTAGGTCGAAAAGAAACACAGTGACCTCTCTGTATCTCTGTCCATCTCTCCCCTTCCCCACTTCTCTCTCTCTCTGTACTTTTCGATTTCTAAGAATCAGATTTCTTGGAGAAAGGGTGGGGGAATGGAGGTGAGCAGGCTTTGGACAGAAATGTCTATTTCCGTATCCAAAAATGTGACCAGATAAAATGGATCCCAGGAGGTGATGAGGCTGGGAGGGTGGCGGACGTGCTGCTGAGTTTTTTTTTTTTCCATGAACTGGGCAGGTCCTACTCGGAGCCGTGCTGTGTCCTCTTGGTCCAAACAGGGCTGGGCTGATGTGAACCCTGGCGTGGTTCTCAGTGTCCTTGTGGCACCTGCCGGGAAGCTCAACCCACAGACCCAGCAGTCAGTCTGTGAGTTTTGATAGCAAAATACAGCACTGATTCGCATCCCCTTTCTCTCGAGATGGGACTTGCAAAAATCATTCCCAGTCCTGTCAGCCTGCTTAATGGGATCATCATGCAGTTTTCCAGGACATTTTCCAGAGGATGAGGAGGAAGGAGCCTCACTGTGTGTCTGGAAAATGTGATTATTATCCGCGAAGATATGCAAAAGGGGGAGTCTGGGCCAGGGGGAGGAACCACAGCCCTCCAGGGCTTCCTGGGATGCCAGCATGCTCGACTGCACGAGGGGTTTAACTGGTCATAGGTGTTTATTTGCCATTATTTTTGTATCCCTATGATTAGGAAGGGAGAAGAAACAGCCTCTTCATCACATAGTGGGAGATGTGCTAGATCTTTAGACCAAGAGGGTCCGGGAGCAGCAAGCGAAGGGGGTGATGAGGAGTGATGGGGGTAGGAAGGCTCCAGGGAAGGTTCAGTTAAGTGCCCAGCTAAGGGGGGCTCAGTGATGGGACCTGGATAGAGAAGCTCCAACAGAGCCAAAGGAGAAGGATGAAGAGCACTCAGCCCAAGACCACCATCCTCAGCGGCCCCAACCCAGGGAGCCTTTCGGAGCTGCCCGAGTCAGCTTGGCTCTGCCTCGCTCCTGTTTGCCTGACACTGAGTGAGCCGTGGCACTGATCACAGTGTCCCCTTCCTAATGCCCTGCTTTCTCTCTTTAGATACCATCACACTAAAGAAGAGAGTCCCAAGGTAAGGTCACTATCGTGGTAAGTGCGGGGTATCATTTTCCCTCCTGTTTTATTCATTGTGCTTCTTTGCCTGTCATCCTAGCTCTTCTCTCCACTCCAAAATGCTTCCTAGGAGACTAGACTGCACCCCATGCCCCCTTTTCCCTTCTTTGCTTCAGTGGGCAGAAGTCATGAGAGTGCAGGGCCACAAGGTACAGTAGCCAAAGGGGGCTTGAGCTTGCCTCTGTGTACTCTCAGTTACATTCTGCCCCACCTCCCACACAGAACCCCTCAGTACATTCCCCCCAGAACTCAGAATGAGGTCCCTAGCCCTTGCCATGACCTACTTGGGAAGCCCATATGGACTGCTCCAGGTTACTTGGCTTCCCTGCTGCCATGAGCCACACTGCTCTTCTGCACAGAGACTATATGTCCTCTGAGGACAGCCCTGCCTCAGGACCTTTGCACTTGCTGTTTTCTGTTACATGGAATGCTCTTCTCCCAGATACCTATAAACTTTGCCCTTCATTTCCTTCGTATCTCTGCTTCAAGGCCACCATTTCATTTTGGATGGCCTGTTTAAAATAGAAACCACTTCCCCTGATCATTATCTTGCCCTCACCTACCTTTATTTTTCTTCATATTACTTTCCCTTCACTGACATTATGTGATATATTTCTTCATCTATTTCTTTTGATGGTTTTCCCCCTGAAGTGTAAGGTTCTTGAGGGTGGGGTCTTTCTCTTCATCTTTGTGGCTCTGGCATTTAGCACCACGCCTGGAACAGAGCGGGTACTTGTATATGTGTTGAATGAATGAATGAATGGGCGTTCAGGCATAGGCTAGGTGCTGAGGAATAAGGGAAGACAGGCTCCCTTTCCATCTGCAGGGGACAAAGGCACATCGTGGGTGCTCGTTGCAGGGTGTTGGGGCCAGGGGGGTGTTGTGACACAGCTAAGTAGGCGTTGCCTTGTGCCTGGGGGATGCAGAGGGGTCCAGCTGGGAAGCAGGACGTCTAGGGGTGCAGGCAGCACTGGGATTGCATACGGAGGGATGAGAAGAAGTTTCCCTGGGGGAAGCAAGAGAAGTGTACACAGGCAGAAGGCACGCCGAGGTGTGTCAGTGTGCACACCCAGGGAACAAATGTTCCGTGTGACAGGAGCCAATGCTTCACACGAAGGTCTGCAGAGAAAAGGTTGGAGAGAGGGGTGGTTTCACTCAGGGTCTTACATGCTAAGTGAAGGAGTCTGCACCCTATCCTGAAACTTCTGCTCAATCCCTGATGGATTCTAGGCAGGAGAGGGATGGAAGAGTGTTTCCGCTGTAGTGGCATGGGGGGGGCGGGGAGGGCGCTGGGGACAGGGACACCTGCTGGGAAGCCCTTTGAGGGCTTCAGACCTGCTGCAAAGCCCTGCTGGGCAAGGATCCGAGCGATACTGAGGCGGTGGGCACTGAGCGAAGGTGCAGCCACCAAGACGGAAGAATCCAGAACAGTACAGAGTTTGTGGGGGTGGAGAGGCCCCAGGGGGGTGGTGCCCTTGGGAAGTAGGGGTGGAACAGGAACAGGTTTGGGCAATGGACTTGGGGGCTGAGATGGGGACTCCTTTTTTAAACACAGTGAACCTGAGGCTTCTGGAGACTTCCATGTAGAGGGGGTGCTCAAGAAGGGCTGGCATGCAGACAGAGGTCTGGGCTGGGTGGGGTGGTGGGTTTTAGAGGGGACCTGGGCTCCCCTCCGGTTCTTCCCCAGAGCCTGGCGCTCAGTAAATGCTATGGCGTGTGTATGGGAGGAGGGGTGGATGTGAGAGGGAAGAGAGAGACGGATGTGTGGCATGCTGTCGTCAGGGTGATGGCCTCGGGCTGAACTGGAAACAGATTTTCTTGAGAAGTTCACTTTCCTGAGGATCTCCCCTCCTTTAGATATTCTGGTTTCCGGGCCCTTACTGAAGAGTGTTTCATCAGCTCTGCCTGCAAGCATTGCCCCTCTTCTTCTCTGACTCTCACTGTCTCTCTCTGTTCCATCCTCCCCAATCCCCACCCAGCCCACACTGTTTGGCCCCCCCACAAAGGGCTTGGACGGGGTTGGGCGGGGGAGAGGAGTGTGACCATTTTCCTTATCATCCAAACCAGGACTTTGGGAGAGTGAAGAGGCATTGCTAATAACCGTGTTAGGATCTAGGTGTAAACCTGGATAGTTCTAGGAAAACTGGAGCATGCGGCCAGCCTGGGGTTAGTGGGGCCATGAGACAGTGCTCTCCAGGCCCCTCTGTGGCCACACAGTTCTCCTCTTGCTGGCAATGTCACCTCCTCTGTACCTGGGGTTCTCGCGCAGGGGAGGGTTGGGTGACCCGTCCCAGGGAGCTTTTGGAAACGTGTCATGGAATTGGGGGCATTTACAGGCGGGGGACCACAACACCATGTGTCACCCACACTGGCTAAGTTGTCCCATTCGTCTTTATAGAAGAAACATGCTAAACATGCTAAACAGCTCTCAAGTGCCACCAAATCCATGAGACCACTTACAGGGGAAAGTCGAATTCCAAGTTGCTGGCTCCTGCTGGCCCTCTCTTTCCCAGCCCTGCGGGGCCTTCTCGCCCGGGGAGCTCTGTCTCCTGGCAGCCCTTGGGGCATTGGCATGGCGCTAGGTTCCACTGAGGCTGCAGCTGGGTCCCCTTGCCAGGACACCCAGGGGCAGCACTCCTACTGCTCTGGGCTGGGCGCTGACTCAGGCTCTCCCACTATAGAATCTAGGCAGCCTGACCTTCATCAGGGGTTCAAACAGGGCTTTGGGCAGACGGGGCTATGGGAGGCCATGGACTGAGTCTGGTAGGATGAGAAGGATTAACTCCTGATGTACAGGAAGAGGGGACCTGGACATGAATAGATGCACCCCAGACCTAGAGCCTGCATTGCCTTTTGGGGGTCCAGCTGGTCTCTGCGGTGGGCAGTACAAGATGGGAGTCAGCTCTGCGTAGATGGGGGATGTCTGTGATGGTGGACTCTACCCACCGCATGGCCTCTGGGGCCCTCTGCTGGGTGGCTACAGACTTTTGCGGCAGGCTGTGGCCCTCTGTCACCAGTCAGTGGTCGTAGTGACCTCACCACCTGGGCGTGGGCTGGGCGTGCTCCCTTGGCCAAACCACCCCCACACATGGAAGGGCACTTGGAGTTAGGGTACTTTGCCTTGGAAACTCCAGTGCCCCCCAGAAGTCTCTGCAGACACTGTGTCAGGGCTATCTTAGTCATGGAATTCAAAAAAAAGGAAGAGTTCCCAAATCCTAATTTCCAATCGCGTGCATGTGGTTTTGGGGGGTGGGGGGGATGGAGAAGCTGTGATGGTTTGTAGCAAGTGACTGACACACGTGTGTGTGTGTGTGTGTGTGTGTGCGTGCGCTGTATACAGTACAACCAACCACTTTAAAAGCATTGTTGAAGCAACGGTCGCTGCGGATTTATGTTCCCATGTATAAGCATGTCAGAACATGTCCCGATTTTGCGTGCGCTTGGAAGTTCTGAATTCTTTTGAAACATCAGAACCAGAGGAGGCAATTTCCATCGTCCATCCGGATGGGGTGGCTGCACAGGTCACTCACAGACGACCATGGTGAAAGTGAAGTCCCAGAAAGGGAACACGGGCAGGGCTCAGGTGGCTGGAGGGAGGGAAGGGAGAGATGCAGGGCAGGGGTGCGGGGGGCGGCTGGGTGGGAGCCCTCCTGCCCACACCCCCCGCACCCCCCCATTTAGCCCCCCACCACGTGCGGGGAGCTGTTCTTGGCACAGATCACACCCGAGCTCCTCCGCAAACAGGGATTGTTGAAGAGAAGGGAGGCACACTTCAAGTAACACTAGATGGAGTCAGGCTGAATCAGGAAGAAGTTAGACCTGAAAGGAAAATTTAAGGACAGGCAAGCCATTCTCCTGGAGCAAAACTTCGCATGTGCTTTTTGTCACGTAGGAATGATTTAATGAACATTCGATTCTCCTGTTTTGCAGGTCAAACCTCAGTTTCTCCGAAAGGTGAGTTGTGAGAGCGATCACTGGTTCTGAAAGGGAGAAAGGCGGTGGCTGTCCCCAGGCGGCCACCATGCAGGACGGGAGGGGATTGCTAACCACGAGCCACGACTCCTCGTGCCTTGGCTGGGACACCAGGAGTCCACATCTTCTTCTTCTTTCTTTATTTTTTTTTTCCCTCCAGAAAGTCTTAATTTAGTGGTACTTCAGGATGATTTAAAATGAAGCCGTGGGACCTTTGCCTGATTAGAGCTGAGAAAATGGGATTTTAGAAACAGGATAGTTAACTTTCTTCTTTTGTCAAATTTTTCCCTAAAGGTCAATCAAACCATGAACTCTCCAACTTAGTCCACGTGATTACAAAAAAAAATTCCAAAACTTTGCGTCCTCAAGCTATCGATTTGGCTGAAGTGTCTGTTTCCCCTGTTGCTTTCGGGTCTCGCAGTGGACGAGGTCTGAGCGTGCGGGATTGGTCACGGGTCATGCTCCCTAGGCCCACTTGCCTGCGCCTCATGCATTGCCCACGTGCTCTCACCTTCCTTCTTTTTGAAAACTCTTTAAATCCACCAGAGTTGAAAGAACAGTGCAAGAAAAACATACACATCTTTCACCTAGATTCCCAAGTTAATATTTCCCTCCATTTGCTTTATTCTGTATACATGCAGTTTTTTCTGATCTACTTAAAAATTAGTAGGAATATCACCCCTAAGTTAGTAGAGATATTTCACCCCTAATTATGTAACCAAGTGTCTCCTGCATAATCACTATATGATGACCACACCTAAGAAAATGACCAATATTTCAGGAATGTCATTTATTACACAGCCCATATTCAAATTTCTCTGATTGTTTCAAAAGTATCTTTATAACTTCAGTCTTCCAAACCCAGATCCATGGTATTTGATTTTTGTCTCTGTTTCGTCTCTTTTTGTGTTGGACAACTTCTCTGCTTTCTTTCCCTGCGTCATTATCAATTTTGAAGTACTTTTGTATGATGTCCCGTCTTCAGGACTGGTCTGATTGTTTCCTCCTGAGTAGATGCCGATTGAGACTTTTGTCAAGAACACCACGGAGGTGACACTGCGTGTCTGACACTGTACTGTGTCAGGAAGTGCATGACGCCAGGCTCTGTCACTGTGGATCTGATGCTGCCTTTGATCACTTTTTAAAAAAATTTTATTTATTTGTCAGAAAGAGAGAGTGAGCACAAGCAGGGAGAGCGGCAGGCAGAGAAGAAGCAGGCTCCCCGCTGAGCAAGAAGCCTGAGGCGGGGCTCGATCCCAGGACCCTGAGATCATGACCTGAGCCGAAAGCAGATGCTTAACCGACTGAGCCACCCAGGTGTCCCTGCCTTTGATCACTTGAATAAAGAAGTGACTGCTAGATCTCTGTGTCAGGGAGACAAATTTTCCTCTTTGTAATTAGTCAGTAATCTGAAGGGTGATACTTTGAGACCACGTGAACATCCTGACTCTCCAGTGATTCTTCACCTAATGATTTTATATCTGTCCATGATCCATGTTTGATCCAGTTATTGCATTGGGGGGGTTACAAAACACTGAGTTTCTAACTCTAGCATCCCTTCTGCATTTAATAGCTGGTATTCTTCTGGATAAAAAGACCTTTTCCTTTCCCCTTTTCTCTCTTATTTGTTGAATATCATTACTGTGGACTTCAACATATTATATAATTCATTGCCATCATGGATCTTTGTGATGTTCAAATTGTCCCCAGTTTGTCCAGTACCAGTCACTTCTTGGTAGCTTTTGAGCATTTCTTAGATTTCTGGGGTTTTTTTTGTTTTTTTTTTCCCCACACAGCACAGTATCCCAGGCTCACCTTGTACTATCCCTGCTCATACCTGGAATCACCCATGTACCCTTTAGATCCCTGGTTTTTCTTTTTTCTTTTTTTATGTGGAATAGCTTTTAGAAGCCAAGATGTGGGCACAATGTGTGCTCATGGCTTCTGAGACATCATTGCTTCTAGGCCCTCTCAATGGGCAGAGTCAGGAAATGTGTATTTAAATCACAAACTCGGGCGCCTGGGTGGCTCAGTTGGTTAAGCGACTGCCTTCGGCTCAGGTCACGATCCTGGAGTCCCTGGATCGAGTCCTGCATCGGGCTCCCTGCTCAGCAGGGCTGACCCTCCCCCCTCTCATGCTCTCTCTAGCTCATTCTCTCTCAAATAAATGAATAAAATCTTTAAAAAAATAAAATAAAATAAATAAATAAATCACAAACTCAATACCATAAGGTTCTACTTAAGCTTCCCCCACTGGGTATTTTTGTTTTGCTTCCTCCAAAGTGAAAACCCTGTTCCATATAAATATTTTTACCCTTTTGCTCTATCCTCTAGTAGTACCCACAATACTTCCACAATCACAGCACTCTACAACTACAAACCTGCTTAGTAACTTGAAGATTTCTTTGCAGTTCTTTTTCTTCTTAGAATTTAGCCCTCTGTGTGTATCAAGTATTATATTCAAATTGAACTAATTATTTTCTCTGTGTGGTTATGCTATCAATTTGATATAGGGTTTGTTTCCATGTGTATACTATTTTAATGTTTCCTTTCTTATTTCTTTTACTTTAATTCTATTTTCTTGAGTTTGTAAAACATGTATATGGTTCAAAGATAAAAAATATGTAAACAGGGTGCCTGGGTGGCTCAGTTGGTTGGGCAACTGCCTTCGGCTCAGGTCATGATCCTGGAGTCCCTGGATCGAGTCCCGCATCGGGCTCCCTGCTCAGCAGGGAATCTGCTTCTCCCTCTGACCCTTACCCCTCTCATGTGCTCTCTCTCATTCTTTCTCTCAAATAAATAAATAAAATCTTTTAAAAAAAATATGTAAACAGGCAAATTCAGAGAAGTCTCACTCCCATACCTGTCTACTCTATCCTGTCCCCACCCACTGCGTGGAGATAACTGTTTTCAAGAGTCTCTGCTTTTTCTTCGCATATTCCTTTTAAAATATATATTTAATTAAAATTATATATATATAATTTCCATAAAATTAAAAAATGTTTACATACGTACATATATATTTTTTTTTCTAGTTCTTGTAAGGCTTTATTTTTTATTTGGATCTCTGATCCATTTAATATTTATTGTGGTGTGTAGGATGCAATTTTGTCTTTTTCCCAAATGGCAATCTATTTCAGTATCATTATTGAAAATATTATTTTCCCCAGTTTTATTTGCAATCTTTATTGTGTTCTAAATTTCCATGTGTACTTGGACTATTCCTAGACTTTATATTATTTTCCATGGTATTTGTGAATATTCATGTGTTAGTACCATGCTCTTACTCGTGCGTGCTTCATGGTTCGCTCCACTATCTGGCGCACTCCCATTGTGCTTTCTATTCAGGGACACGTTCTTGCTATTCTCTTCTAGCTATTCTTGCACATTTGTGTTTCCATATGAACTTCAGAACCAACTCCAGAATCTACCCATGGAACAAACACCTTTTTATTTTTGCTGGGGTTGCATTACGTTCATGTATGAGGCTCAAGACGATTGACTTCTTTATGATGTTAAGCAGTCCTTCCTGGAAAGGTAAATTTTTTTGCAAGTCTGTGTTTATGTGTCTGAAGAGAGTTTTTGGCTTTTACCTTATGGGTTTTTCACATTTCTTGTTAAGTTTATTCCTAAATATTTTTATGTTTTTGTTGCTTTTATGAATGGAGTTTCCCATTATGTCTCCTACTTGGTCATTGATTGCTTATGGATTATTTTTGTATGTTAATGTTATCGTGACAGCCATACCGAATGCTTTAATTGTATGTGTGTTCTTCTGGATTTCCTTGAGTTTTCATAATATTATGTCATCTGCCAAATTGTAGATCTCCTTTCCCAGTTCTTTTTTTTTTTTTTAAAGATTTTATTTATTTAAGAGAGAGAGAATGAGAGAGAGCACATGAGAGGGGGGAGGGTCAGAGGGAGAAGCAGACTCCCTGCCAAGCAGGAAGCCAGATGCGGGACTCGATCCAGGGACTCCAGGATCATGACCTGAGCCGAAGGCAGTTGCTTAACCAACTGAGCCACCTAGGCGCCCTCCTTTCCCAGTTCTTATGCCTCTGTTTTCTCCTCTGTGATTGCATTGGCTAAAACCACCAGTATTAAATAATAGTGGAAACAGTGCAGATACAGTCTCCAAAAGTCTTCTTCTTTTTCTCTTAATCCCAAGCCCAGGTCTGCAGCCTGATTCACCTGCTAGTCCAGCCAGCAGCTAATATTCCAGCCTCTGTCCTGCCTATCTTTTCTTGTATATTGTGCCTGTCTGTCTAGGGGCTGGTGAAACACCTGTATGCAAAAGAATGACTGCTTCGTCAGAGAACAACTTCCTCCTTGGAGGAGCTCACAGGTGCCACTTCCTCAGCTCAGGGCCATCAGGAGTGGGAGGAGGCTGCCTTCTTGGTTTTCCCATCTTCTGGAGACATCAGTATTTCAAGAACAAATGCTGCATAGGCCCAGCCACTTTGGATCCTCTTAACAACACCTGAAAGGGCCATTTGAACTCAGAATTTGTTAAAGATGATAGAAGGGATGAAATTTCTGTTGAGCTCCTGGACCTCAAGACCATCCAACTTAAACCCTGATTTTTGGGCCTACCATATTTTAAAGGAGAAGCACAAAAATCTGACAGCCTTTAGACTCTCTTGGAATCCCTTTAGACTTCTCTGTCACCATCCTTGCTTGTTTCCAACTTGCTTATCTTCCATGTTGCCTCTGTGGCCATCAAGCTCTGTAACCCTGACCTCAATGTGTGTCCTTGGTCCCCCACACATGGGATAGGTAGGTACTGTCTCTTTTATGGACTTTGGCTTGGCTTATCAAATTGATGCTTCACTCTGCCCCATCTTTCTATTGTTGTACTTTCTCCCATGTTAGATATCAAGACATTGAGACAGCATGCACAATCGAACGGCATAAACAAGTATGCAACATTCAGTGTAAACATAAATATGCCATTCTGTTAAAATTAGGACTGTTATGAGAAACTGCAGTGAAGTGTTGGTGTGAATTCAGTCTCTGTGCATGGAGGTGTCGGCGAGGCCTGTAGTTGAAATTGGCCACAGCAGGGTCTGTGCCCTACTTGCAGCCTGAATATTCAGGGTCCTTGAGACATGAAGACCATGGAGTCTTCTAGTCTGGTCATGAGACTGGTCATGAGACTTCTGGTCTCATGAATGAAAGACTGACCTTCCACGGGAAAAAATGGAGGGCTGGGCCGGAGTGAGAGGAAGGGGTCTCAATGGCCTCGGAATGGCCTGCAGCTCTGCAAATGATGGAGCCAGCAAAGGATTAAATGAAAAAGCCGATGGTGTACTTTATAGGGACCTACACAGATGTAAGGGATTATTGTTATGTTATAGCATTATTTTGTGGTTATTAGTACAAATGTGAATTAGGACCTGGTTTGGTGACCTCATCTTTTCTTCTGTGATCCCAATTTTATGTAGATATAGAGATAGAGATAGATACGCTATGTGTGGACAAGTCTCACGCTCTGTAACAGCACAAGGTCAGATTTGAATGTATCAGTTTCTAGTTACATTTGCACAGGTCTATCTACCTGGTCCCTTGTAGCATCTTCCCAGATCAGGGCAATCTCTTCAAGTACAGAAAGTGGCATTTTCCTGCAGATATGCCTTTTAACCCTGGGGAATGACTTCTTCCCTTTCTGCCACCAAAGTGGGTGAGGTTTTGTGGCTCGAGGTTTGGCAGGCAGAAAACAACCTCTCAGTTGAGCTCTATCTGAAAAACTCCCCCTTTTATCTAGAAGCCACTGGTCTTCACGTACTTTCTATGTTGCACAAGGAAATGTCTCACCTTGCTAAGATATGCTGATGAATTCCTTCATACCTACTTAATTGTGTGGCAGCATAAGCATATGCCATGATTAGTGAGAGCATAATCACTCTGTCAGTAAGTCTTCCTAATGGATCTCTTCCTTTCCAGAGGTGAACAAGTGATTGAGCTCTGAATGAGTGGCCTCTTCAGGAGAGGTTGGGCAGTCTGGACAGTTTCAGTCTCAGGGATGTCATGAATTTGAGCTTCCAAAGCTGGTGATGGACCTTCACGTGGAACTCAATGCCCAGGCACGTAAGAGATGGAATAGAGTCTACAGTGTTTCTGGCCTGAAGGAAAATATCAATCCTCTTCCACGAGAAGCTGACTGCATAGAGGGAGGCATGAGCACATTATCCAGCAGTAAGAAAAGATGGAAACCAATAAATCCACACTGTCTATCCTGGTCCTCCATGATGGCGCTGTTCATGATTCTATGATAGCATTGTGTCCATATCAGTGGAACCTACCCATAGCAAATGGCTCATGGAAATGGGGACCAAAGTCAAGACACAGCCTCCTTAGCACCACCATTTATCAACAGGTAAGCATCATTTTCTAGAACTGATGGCCTCACCATCTCCATTGCCATAAGAATCCCCCTGCAAATATTCAGGGTCCTTGAGACATGAAGACCATGGAGTCTTCTGGTCTGGTCATGAGACTGGTCATGAGACTTCTGGTCTCATGAATGAAAGACTGACCTTCCACGGAAAGAAATGGAGGGCTGGGCCGGAGTGAGAGGAAAGGGTCTCAATGGCCACGGAATGGCCTGCAGCTCTGCAAATGATGGAGCCAACAAAGGATTAAATGAAAAAGCCGATGGTGTACTTTATAGGGACCTACACAGATGTAAGGGATTATTGTTATGTTATAGCATTATTTTGTGGTTATTAGTACAAATGTGAATGGCTTTTGCCTGGAGGACATGACTAGCAGAGGCTTAGGAAACCCCCATCTTCTTATTATTGCCATCAACCTAAGGCTGTGTGGCACAAACCCCATTAATATTTCTCTCCCCCATACTATTAACCCTGTATTTCCGGGGCTGCATTATGGAATACTCTTTGCCTTTCCAGTTCAACAGAAATCCAGGTGGTTGCGTGGGCTGGTTCTCCTCCGATTGGGTTACTCTCCTTGTGTGTGATGAAAGATGAGCAATATTTCAAAACAAAGTGCTGTGTTATAAGAATTTGCCTGGATTCCCAGGGCGTCTTTTATCTGACTTGATAACAACATAGTTCATTAGCAGCCTTTGTTAGCTGATAACCTAAAGCAGTAACATGATACTCATAAGGAATTTTCTGTGTGTAAGAATAAACCATCTTGTAAGGTATCTGTTAATTGATTTGCTTCTTTTACCAGCATTTTAATTAAGACTTCTGGTTTGTGAGTGGCAGAGACACTTACAACCCGAAGGTGAATACTTCAGGATTCTCAGTAATCATTTTTCTATAGACACAGCAAAACCGTGGGGTCCTCTCCTCCATCGCACACCATGATGTATTTTCCTAGCACCATTCCTGGGCTCTGGTTCTGTTTTAGCCCCACACAAGTTTTCCTGGGTAAAGAACAGAGAAGTATGCTGAAGGCCAATGCTCTCTCCTTGGGTTATAAAGGCTGACATGCCCTGGGAGACAGCATGGGACTCTTTGTAATGGGTCCCCTTGGCTTCCACCCCAAATTCAAGCTCAGTGTCTTCCTTCTGTGGCAGTTCTCCTGGAAGCTCTCTGACTCCCTTCTTGACAGCCCTTCTCCCTGGTAGCAGTTCCTGGGGATGGAGGTTCCAATGGGCAAGAGCTCTGGAAAGTGTTTGGAAGCAGCCACAAGAAGTCATTGTGTGTGAAAGTGCAATGTCATGAGTGAAAGCCATTCTGAATACCCCACACAGTGGTTTGGGAGTATGGTAGCAGAGGCCAAGCGTTAGGGGAGACCCTCCCTTCTCAGCCCGTAGGCCCTGGGGCCCCCAGAACACATGCAGGTCCCACACAGCCCACCTTGGCAGGCAGAACACCCTGCCCCAAGTGGGGGGGACCAATGACACTCAGACACTAGGAGGGAGAACCATTCCTACAAGGGCGGAACAGGCTGCCGACAGTAGCCAGCCAGCATCTACGGGCACAACTGTGGCTTGCTGCCTCTAGGACTCAGTGTCCAGAGGAGGAGAAGGTAAGACATGAAAGGGTTATCTGGCGAGACCAACAAATAAAAAATGTGCATCAATCTCTATGTCTATAAATTAAAAATATACTTACATGGAATCTATAAATTAAAATCAATACATAAAAAGCAAATGCATATGCGTATACGTATTCTTTTATGTGTGTTTTTAAGGTATACATATCATAGAATTTTAAGATATAGGGGGTTTGAATAAGTTAATAAATGATACCCTTTTTCATCATCCAAGTTTGGAAATAGCTGAGAGTAGACAAACAAGCAGATGGAGATTAAAGTATGGGAGTTATTGTGATTTTCAAACGAGTCATGACATGCCAGTATCACTCTGGGGTCTTTGCCCCTCCAAGTAAGAGGGGAGTGTGGCTTGGGCTGGGGTGCTGGTAGCAAGGATGCAGAGGGTGGATGTGTTGGGATGGGGATTAGAGGCGAAGACGTCAAGAGTTACTGGTGGGTAGATTAGATCAAGAGGGAGGATGCAACTCCGCATCACTCATAGGATTTGGTGCTACTGATTAGGATGTGGAGGACCTGGGGAGTGCTAGCCTCAGGAAGGCTCTGCTGCTGGTCTTGGGTCTCTTGTATCAACCATTAGGGCACCGAAGTGTGGGCTACTTTTGGGGAGAGTAAACCCCATGTTCCTGCAAATGTTCAAGCTTGGGGACTGGGGTTAAAAACACACGTGTTGGAGATTGCTTCAGAATGTGCTCTGGGATCCACGAGAGAAAGCTGGGGAGGGTCAGCCTGGAGGAGTTGCAAGGCTCCTGTCGGTGAGATAGAGTGTGTATGGGGTTGCTTAGGCAGAGGGAGGCTGAGAAGAGCAGAGCCCAAAGATGCAAGCAGAAGGGGGTGCCTGTGACATGAAGTCTAAAAGGGGCCAGATTTGGGCTGTGCTCAGGGCCCATCCTGCTGACTGGTTCTTTTCCCTCCAAGTCATTTGTCATCATCTCAGACTTGTCAGATAAATTAATCATCCTTCAAAGGGTATGATTCTTCACATGTATGTTATCATTGGATGACAGATGAGTGGCCCATCTCTACACAAAGTGTGGGGAAGTTGCTCAGCCCTCATATATCCCAACCTCACTTACCAGCATATTTTGGGTCTGAGGGTTCATGGTTCTGGAGTTTCCACTCACGTATGATTTTCTCATCATTTGTGATCCTCTCTCTGTGCAGTTTGGGGACATAACAGAGTATGTAGGCTCTGTAACCAAATGCTGCTTTATGAGCTGGACAAATTGTTTAACTTTGTTATGCCTCGGTTTTCCCATTTGTAAAAATGGGCTAATAGTTGTACTTACCTTATAGGATCTTTGTTAGCATTAAATGAGGTAACACATGTAGTAAAGCTCTTAAACGCTGACATGTAGTTGGCACTCAGCAAACACGCTCGGTCACCTTTTACTCTATTCTAAAATTCAGAGGTGAAATTAAGGAAGTCTTCATTTTTTAGACATTCATTTCTTTATAGATATTTTTGAATAAAGTTTTATTTTAGGACAGTTTTGGGTTTTCCTTAAAGTTGTGAGGGTACTTCAGAATGTTCCCCTATGCCCCACTGCCAGCTTCTTTATTATTATTTTTTTTTTAAAGATTTTTTATTTATTTATTTGAGACAGAGAGAATGAGAGAGACGAGAGCACGAGAGGGGGGAGGGTCAGAGGGAGAAGCAGGCTCCCTGCCGAGCAGGGAGCCCGATGCGGGACTCGATCCTGGGACTCCAGGATCATGACCTGAGCCGAAGGCAGTCGCCTAACCAACTGAGCCACCCAGGCGCCCCCAGCTTCTTTATTATTAATATCTTACATTAGTATGGGTTATGTGTCACAACTCATGAGCCGATTTGATTCCATTATTACCTAAAGTCCATATTTTATTTGTAGCTTCTTAGTTTTTACTCAGTATCCCTCTTCTCTACTAGGACCCCATCCAGGATGCCACATGACGTTTAGCTATCATGCCTTCTTAGGCTCATCCTGGTCGTGATGGTCTCTCGGACTTCCCTGGACAGTTCTGAAGGAGCACCGATCAGGCGTTTTGTAAACTGTTCCTCAACTGATAGTTTGATGTTTTTCTCATGAAGATAAATTTCTTTTAGGCCAATTTTAATATAAAATTGATGATAATCATACAATAAACCAAGTGTTCACTAATGTTTACTGTCGTTCACATAAATAAAGTTAGGCAGATCGCTGATAAATCTCCCCTAAGTCTAATCTGGTAGGCTCAGTAAAAAGGAAAACTTTTCTTTATTAATAAAGCAAAGCAGGTGTTTCTAGTCAGTGTGGGACTGCTCACGCTGGCATCACACAACTGCTGTGCCCGTTAGATCAGCCGCAGAGACCACGAGAGTACTCGGGTCCCTGTTTGGGGCAAGTGTGGATTTGACTCCACGGTCCTCTCTTACCCAAGAAAAGATAAGCCCACCTTTGCTCCTTCTGTGGACAGGCAGGAGCCCTCAGTAGTGTGGCCTGAGCTCTCCAGGGAAGTGGTTCAGAGCTGCCCATTACGTTTTCCTAGAAAAAACAAAGACCCACAAAGAAGCCTTACAATATGGTTCTGATTTTTTTGTCCTTTCCTGAGTTTAAATCAGAAGGTGATTCTTATGTACTGGCAACAAATTGTGAGTCAAACACAACCGCTGACCAAAAAGGAATTAAAACTATGTCCAAGAATTACCCGCAATATGTTCTGATGGGGCATTTCCAGCAGGCAGTGAGGGCTCTGCTCTGTCCCCAGTAGACTCACTCCAAGGGGAGACGTTGTGTGACCTCAGCCATGTCACCCAGAAGGTGCTACCTACTGCTATCGTAGATGACCCTCCGCTCCATCCATCAGCCTTGTGGAGGGAGTCAGGTTGGGTTGATGACTCCTATACCCCCATGAGGTCTTGATCTGGGATCAAATTACCAAGGATTGAAATTACCCATTTTATATTTACAGACCCCAATGAAATATTTAAAAAATTTTTAAATGCTGGTCCAAAAATATTTCTTAGCTTGGAAATCTTAAAATACTTTGAAAAATAACTCTTGAGGGATTCTGAAGTTGGATATGACAGAGTAGTGTATCATTCTAGCCCTCCTGCCAATAACAATGATAAATTTAGTACAAAATACAGTAAGCCAACCATTTGAAGTACTGATGAGCCACTCAAAGCAGGCATAAGCCAGAGGGAAATTGACTCTTAAAGAAGAGAAGTCAGTGAGCTCACATTTATTTGGCTCTACCCCTGAGGACACGTCTAGTTTACATTGCACACAGGGCAATAGAGTATAAGTAGAAAGTGGCTCTCTTACTGGGCATAGAAGACAGAGAGTGGGGCTCACAGAAGTCATAGGGGCTAGAAGTTTTGGGGAACAATTCTAGAAAGAAAGCAGTTAGTGGAAGAGACCCAAAATCTGCTTTAGAATTCCCCTAAATCCTTGACTAACTTCTGAACTGGGCATGCACACAGTGAAATTTGAAGGGGTTCAATGGGAAACAACAGTGTGAAGGCTAAAAGGAGCTGAGCAGAGATTTCAGCAGTTGCCCTGCTGTTGAGAGACAGTTCGAAGTTCAAATCCTGCCAAATCAGAGGGGCGTGATGTGATGGTTCATTTCACGTGTCAACTTGGCTGGGCCACAGTGTCTAGGTATATGGGAAAACATTATTCTGGATGTTTCTGTGAGGGTGTTTTTGGATGAGATTAACATTTAAATGGATGGACTTGGAAAAAAATCAGATTGCTCTCCATGATGTGGGTGGGCCTCACCCAATCAGTTGAAAGTCTAAATGGAGCAAAAGAGTGTTCTCCCCTCAGCAAGAGGGTACTTTGCCAGCAGACAGCTTTCAGATCTGAACTGCCACGTTGGCTCTTCCCTGGTGTCTAGCCTGCTAGCCCACCCTGAAGATTAGGACTCACCAGCCTCCATAATTGCATGAGACAATTACAAAAAAATAAAACTCGTTATATACATATTCTTTTGGCACTGATGTGAGAGCCTTTCTAGGGCAGATAGAAATTCTACTCCTAAAACCATAGTGTGCCTATAGCATGGCCAGCATGAAAATGGTCTGAGTAATATAGTATTATGTATAATGGTTTTATCCCTGGGTGATTGACCCTGCTGTTGGAATGGAAGCATCTTCTTCTCTGGCCATTTTGTCCAAGTTTGGCTCCAATGCCAGGCTGCCCTTGGAGAGAGTGAGAGAGAGAAGAACGGCTTCTGCCAGCCTGAGG